TTGTTTATCAAACGAGTTGAGCCAACCAATCTGAGTTCTCGAAGACTCATTTAATTTAATAGCTCCATCCAGAGCTATATATATATATAATCACCCCACAAGCTCATTAATTGTGATGTAGTTCATTAAATGCATATATTTGATTTAAATAAATAAATATATAAACAAAATAGATATTAAAAGATAAAATTCCCACCTTCTCCTGATGCCCGTATTTCGTGGAGAAGAGATCTGAAGACCGGCCGGCGGGTAATTTTTTGAAATACTCGGCGAGATTAACGAATTCCTGCGGTTCACTGCCGCCGCCGGCGGGGAACCACACGGCGGCGTCTCGCCGGACGGAGAGATCTGAAGCATCCTCGAGAAATAATTAGGTCTCCTCATCTCGTCGTCGAGATTAACATCCCTTTGACCCATCATATCATTACTAGTTATAACAGCGGCGGCGGCGGGAGCAAACCCTACTGTATTTCCACCGCCGTGAAAAAACCCTGACCCAACCCGGGTCTCGGACCCGTGGAGCAGCGGATCGCCTAAATGGGTGAAAGGGTCGCCGAAATCATCGCGACCCGGTTCGCTCGGGTAGACGTCGAGGGGAGGGGTCGCCGGAAACTGCCACTGCTCCGTCGGGGCGGCGACGGCGGCGGCTCTGATGACGTCGGTCAAATCGCCCTGGTAATTGTTGTTATTATTCTCCATGACGAAAGCACATACTTAACGGTTAATAAACCCGTTTTTTTTCCTTTTCTTTCGAGTTTTCAAGGTTTTGGAGTCTGCAGAGCAAAAAAAATAATGGAAGACGGTTTAATGGAGATTATGATGAGACGGTGTTCTAGAGAGAGAATAGAGATGGAGATCTAGAGAGAGAAAGAGAGACGCTGACTTTTTGGAGATGATAATAATAACAACAATTAACAATTAGCTTCACACTCTCAATACGCAACCCTCACATTAAAATGAGGTGGGAAAGATTTGTCATCAATTGGAGTTTAATTATTAAACATGGTTATAATATATATATTATAAACGAGCTTGAGTTTATTTCGTTTGTCAAAATTGACTAGTCGAAAATTGGTCTTAACAAGTCGAGCTAAGTTAGTAGCCAGTTCATAAAGTTACATAAAAAACTAATATTTCTCGAGTTTAATGGTCGATAGTTGAGCCAACTGTCTTAGAATATACACTTGTGAGTTGTCTCACATCGTATATACAAGAAAAATAGGCCTAACTTATAAATCTAGTGGGCTACTCCTCCTACCACCAACTGGTTTTCGGATGGAACCTCACTCGGAGCTTCATTTGGGCTTCCCTGAATTGGTGCGCTTCGTCCGTGGGACCGCATTTTGTCATGGTATCAGAGCTGGTTCACTCAGCCCAATTAGGCTTGCGCCTACGTGAGACCGTGCAATGACGTACCCTTCACCCAGCTCAGTTGGGCTTGGACTTCCGAAGGACTCACAAGTGAGGGATGTTAGAATGTACACTTGTGAATTGTCCTACATCGTCTATACAGAGAAAATAAGCATAACTTATAAACCTAGTGGGTTAGTCCTCTTACCACCAATTGGTTTTGGAATTGAACCTCACTTGAGCTTCATTTGGACTTCTCTAATTTGATATGCTTCGTCTGTGGGACCACACCCATCAACCCCCGTTTTGTCAAACTGACCTGATTAACTGATAATAATTTGGTGAACGAGCTCGAGCTAACTTATTTAATAAACAAGTTGAGTCGAGCCCATGAGTGACTCAGTTCGTTTAACTACAAGTAACGGTAACACTAATAGCTAGGTAGCTAGTATACGTTTTATATTTCTTTAACTAAAAATGTAAAATTAAATATAAGATATTATTATATATACTTGATACTTTTATTTGTATCATTTTCCTTTATATAATATGTAACTTTTTAAGTATGGACATATGTATTTATTATATATTTTATAAATATAGCTGTCCTAACCAATTAATTATTATATTTTGAACCATGAATAATTGAATACACACGTTGAGACATCAAAAGTGTAAATCTGTAATGCAACCATTTCAGTTAAATTGCAACTATTATTTTAATGGATTTGAACTTCACCACTCCCATATAATATTGGAAAATTATACGGACCTGTTACGGAACCATTACGTCAGGATTCATAACCGTTAAATCATCAAGTAATCGTCGGAGATAGTTGATCTGATGGTTACAAATTCCGGAATGATTTCGTAATGGAATCGTAGCATCACCTTGTAATATAATGCTTTCTATCAGTCTAATAACTCTTAAAATGGTCTTTCATAATTATTCCTAATTACAGCATGCTATACGCCTGCATATAGCATGGAATTAATAATAATTATGTTATTAAATTCAATACTTATGTTTTGTGTCGTGAGATTAACCGTTAATTAGGCTTTCTTAATTAAACCTTTTAATCTTGAAAAGAAATGTTAATCATATCAACAGCTATTTTCTTTTCAAGCATCTTGTATATATACCCTAGTTGACCATTGAATAAATCGGGTCATATTTACCTTTTTTGAATAAATATAGTATTGAAGACCACGAAATACATACAAGTAATGAACAAAAGTACGTAGTAAGTTGGTTGGTATATTAAGTTTTAAGATATTTATAATCTAAATTGATATATTTAATATTTTATTAATTACAAACACAATTATGAAATACCTAAAACATATACTCGAAAAACTCATTATAGCGGGAATATCGGTTTATTATTCTTAAGAAAAAAAAAAAACCCTTCGTCCAGATAGCTGTTAAACGAAAAAGACGATCATGAAATGATTCATCTCAGTTCGTGAAGACTCGAACTCTTTTTTTCTTTTTGTAAAAAAAAATTATTTGTTTTTTTAATAATCTCATTGAGGCTCGATTGGTTGGTTAATATTGATACCGAGTCAAGCTTGAGCTCTTTAATCGACTCTGATATCGATAAAGACTCGAATTTGGATATCAGGAGCTCGAGCTACTTGGGTTGGTTTGCACCTTAATTTAGTCCAAAATAATTTTTTTTTTTTTTTTCGGTACAGAGTCCAAAATAATTTATTAAGAGTTCATATACATATTATGATTGAATGGGATAATTAGAGAAAAAAAAAAAAAATGCCCCAAAAGAAAATCTATCATATTAGGAAAGTGTACATGTTATTCTTCAAATATTGGAAGATGCTACGGTCCCGTTACGGTATCATCCCGTTGGTTGTTTTAACCGTTAGATCTACGTGTAGTTAGATAAGATCGATGATCCAACGGTTAAAACACCCGACGGGATGGTACCGTAACGAGATGGTAGCATTTCCCTCAAATATTATGTAATTGATAGAAGTAATAAATAAGGGAAAGGCTACGGTCCCGTTACAGTACCACACTATCGGGTATTTTAATTGTTGAATCATCTATCTTATTCAACTTCATGTTAATCCAATTGTTAAAACACCCGACGGTATAGTACCGTAACGAGATTGTATCATTTCCCAATAAATAAATAACAAAAAAGAAAAGAAAAAAAGAGGCGGCAAGTGGCCGTAATTGAAGGAGAAGGCTTCAAAACTTCAGCGTCTGGGCCCTATGTCCTTACCACGCACGTAAATAAGGACAACTATTGAAGATAACCTAAATATTATATTTAATATTCTTTTATTTATTTATATTTCTGAAATTATTATTCTCTACCTGATATTCAATTATTATTTCCATTACTGGCAGTGGCATCCAGTTAATAGTAACTGAATCTGAATGGCACATATATTTCACAATAATAATAATAATAATAATAATAATAATAATAATAATAATAATAATAATAATAATAAATTATTGAATATGAATTATTGAATGAAAATATATTGTGTTTAGTTGTACTTTAGATTGCGATATTAATATCGTCTCACTCGTACGTTTCCCTACATCAAGTACATAAATTTTATGAAATTTATCTTTTTAGATAAAAAAAATTATTTCAACTGTCAATTAGTAAATAGTAAAATTTTAGGTTTTGACTGATGATAACTCTAATTTTGAATCCAAACTTTTTAATCACCAAACAAAGTCTAATATTATGATTTATACACATATTTTCATATGCAAAAAACATTCATACTTTCTTTATTCAATACTAGTATTAATACTCATGTACAACATGAGAGTTGAGTTAATGAATATATACATAAAGTTATTTATGTCTAATACCAAATCTAACTTTCGAGCAAAAATAATATAAAAACAACATCACGAAACATAGATTTTCGTCATGTCAACATCTGAAACGTGAGAATCTGCCACCTAGGCTCAACACGTTTTTAATTAATATATTGGGAGGGATTTGCTATATCTATATACTTTTAACAAAGGGCTACCTTTGTTTCTAATAGGCATGAAGAACAAATTGAAATGATTTGTTGAGGAAAAAAAAAACTACAGCAATTATATATATTTTTCAACTCAGTCCTCCATAAATAATGTATTATTAATTGTAATTAAATTCATTTAAATAAACAAATATGCGCGTGCATGTTGCACTCTATTACTTTAATTTTCTCCTCATTCATCAGAAGATATATATAAATAAGAACTTGATTTAAGTCAACATGTTAGGTTGACTTTAGCTAGGTTCTGTGATCAGTAATCAAATCCATCATAGTAAATAATAAGTAAATAATAACTACTGCAGTTAATTACGGAACTATTCCGTCGGAATTTGTAACCGTTAGATCAACTATCCACGACCATAATAATGATATACGCGTGCAAAGTATGTGTTATCTTATCCCATTAAAATATAAATTCTGGTTACAACGATTTAATCAATGTATTGATTCGTCATATTTTAAAAAAAAACGCATAATTATGTTATAAATATCATGTTTTTTATTTAAATTAAATTTGAAAATATGATATTTTAATTTAAAATATATAGCTAACTAGTTTGAAATGTATGCTGTCAACCTTAATTTTATTTTTAATTATGTGGGCATTTGAATATATATATTAGGTGACCGCTCTTGAGTATTTTTTTTGAAAATATTTAAATTAAAGACATAAATGGTGGTACCGTATAGGCACCGACCTTTTTGTGTGTGATGGGATGGGACCTTATAAAAAACCACTGTTTTGTTTATGTCATTTAGCCAAAAAAAAAAAAAAAA